GAGCAGGGAGCCCAATGCGGGGCTCGATCCCAGGACCCTGGGATTATGACCTGAGCCGAAGGCAGACGCTTAACGACTGAGCCACCCAGGCGCCCCTAAATATTGAAATTTTAAATAGAGCTTTTGAGAGGTATAATGTAAATGTTACTTTATGTTAATTTTATAGCACTGTGGTTCTATAAATTGAGAGAAATTCCTCTTGAACTTTAAAAATGGTATCACTGTATACCGTTTGAGGGGAAAATTGGAATTCTGTAAAGGAGAAATGAAATCAGAATATTCTTTTTTAGGTATAGCCTATATTTTTTTTTAATTTTTTTTTAAAGATTTTATTTATTTGAGAGAGAGAGAATGAGAGACAGAGAGCATGAGAGGGGGAGGGTCAGAGTGAGAAGCAGGCTCCCTGCCGAGCAGGGATCCCGATGCGGGACTCGATCCCGGGACTCCAGGATCATGACCTGAGCCGAAGGCAGTCATCTTTGGTGCTCTACTCCTGACAGTATTCTTGTTACCATGAACAGACTTGTGGTGGCGCTTGTGTGCTGAATGATTTAAGGGTCCTTACAAAGGTCCCTGGCATCATAACTCCCTCTTGGCACCCCTCTGCCTATGTGTTGTGCTTGGATTACACACATAGCTTTTTGAACTGGGGTGAGTCTTTTTCCGATTTGGGGCCATGCTGGATAATGATGCTTATGCACATTCTTGTACGAGTCTCGAGGTGCACACGTGCGCGCATTTCAGTTGTGTGTGTGTCCCAGAATGAGAATTGCTCTGTGTATCTCAGCATGCGGTCAATTTTTATAAATGTTCTGCATCTTCATCAAAAAATGATAATCTTTTTACTTAAAAGTTGTTCTTTGTGTAAGTAGAAAAATGAAAGGAAACTCAGATCACAAAATACAGAATTGTTTATGGGGCAAAAAAAAAAATGCTAAAAATTTACCAGACTGTTGTGAGAGCAGGGTTCATGGCTGATCCCTGGCAGAAGATTCCATGCAGAGCTCAATAAATGTGTGCTTATTTTTTTATATTTCAAACACATGTGATTTGGTGTCACTTGAGACAAAATTTTTTCCTCTGCCTTGGATGCACTAGCTGTTAGCTAATAACTCCAAGAAAAGGGTGTTATAGGGCGCCTGGGTGGCTCAGATGGTTAAGTGTCTGCCTTCGGCTCAGGTCATG